GGTTATGTCTCGACAATTCTTCTTTAAAGATTCTGTGCGAAAAAAAAGTCTGAACGGTAAGAAAATTTGAGACACGGCGTATGTATATGACCTAAGACAATAATGCATGACTCCTCCAGCAACCTGTCTAAGACACTCTGCGATTTCCTGTACTTATTGCCTTCTACAGTCGTGATGATTAAACAGCCGTGTTCATGTTCATGAGTGGTTACGCAGAAATCTTTCATGGGATCAGTTGTCTTAGCATAGTTGGAGCATGTTCCTTCTTTCAGGTGATATTTATTATATAAATTGGTTATGCTTCTTCTTGAAGTTGGATATGAACTGTCAGATCCTTTCGCCTCATTTTTGTGGTAGTGTTTAGTTTCCTAAGATTGTTGCCTAGTTTTCGGGCGTGCTAAACGTTTGCACAACGGCCGACATATGTTAACGACATAAACTTCAGGCCAGTCACCGTGATTCTGTACATTCCAGTTATCCGCCCACTCCAATGACACGTGGAATTTGAAGGTATGCTTAAAAGGATAGGAACATAAAGAAGAAACGTAAAAATGAAATTAGAACAAGGAGGCTGTAGAAGCAGTTTCGAAAGCATTAGTGTCTGCAAAACAGCTGAAGAAGAAACAGCAACAGATGTAGAAGTAATGGAAGAAACAGTACAAACAGCGTGGAAGCGACAGCAAAAGAATAAAGTGAAAGGCTTCAACACTGTAAGCATTGAAGTAGTAGGAACTGAAGAAGCAGCAAAAGCTTGATGATTCTGCGTTACTGTGATGTTTCATTAACATTGACTTTAGCGTTACACGAAACTGTGTCAATTAGTTTCACAATATAGTAGTGATGTTTTCACACACACATGTATTCCAATATATAAGTGTTATTTTCTGAAGTGAGCAGAAATCGGAAGTGATTCAGATTGAATTCCATCAACGGCTAAGGCACAACAAATGTCTGCCGGGTAGCCAGCGTGCAATCTGGAGAAACAAGATAGAATATTTCTGCTTTCGGAGAGGAATTGTTGCTTCTACAATGTTGTAATCGATGCTTTATAGCAAGTGTTGTAAAGCTGCGAATACAACGGACACCATGAACCGCAGATGTCCTGCTAATGGGACCAGCTCAAAAAGACGATTATATATAGTAATATTTATGGTGATGAGGTTTCAAGACCTTAAAATAAATTAACTTTGCTCAAGTGAAAATGTTCATTTCTGATGTTTATTTTGAAGCCGTTTGTGCCATCATAGAATAACTATCCGCGTTATCGTTGCTTGAAAAGTTGTTTGTTTACTTTTTTGAATCTGTTATTTCGTTATTTGTTAGCATTAGGGCGACGAAATGCTGCGAAGAAGTATTACATTGATATTTAACCGGTTTGCGTTGCAGTACGACTCAACAAGTCGTTCTCTCAGCATTACACATCAATATTGTGATGTGATGGAGTTTTTTGACAGTAAAAAGAACTGGGGCAAAAATGACGTTAAAACTGGCCGCCCATGGCGCAAGGAAGAACTTCGACTCAAGTCGAATGTAGACCTGCACAAGTTGTGGTATGTACTTCTGAAGGAGCGAAATATGCTGTACACAATGGAGCAAGCTGCGAAGGATTCCGTAGAACTGTTTCCCAGTCCAGAGCGTATTTACAAGGTTGAAGAAAGCATGAAGAACCTCGAGGACGTAGTTCATGAGAGGAATAAGGCATACCTAGAATTGACCACGGGAGAGAGCGGTGAACGGCCCTCCAAATATGTCACGACATTTCTTGGATTCAGGGTACGCAAAGAACTCGATGAACACATTGAGCCTCCACATATGAATCCTAAAGGCAAGGAGTACGAACAACCGTTTCTTGATGATGACGCATATATTTTTCAAAAATATTGGAAGGAAAAAGAATGGTTGCAAAAGAGAGACAAAGACGATGACGAACGGAGGAATTCTGGAAAGCACAAATACATTTATCGTTACTGATGTTTGTTTTATTTTCTATGGATTGTTGTACATCGTTTCACTTCCCAATGCTATGCAGTAAAGTTTAACTTAGTACTTTCTTATCGTTCTTAAAGAAGTCTTTGGTTGCCATGGCTGAAAATGCTTGCTTTGTGTTTTAGTTTAGTGACTGAAACCATCTCAGTATAGAATCGTTTCACAGTATGCAAGATGTCATAAATATGAAGGTTCAGGCGAAACTTGTAAAGATTATCAGAATTCTCTTGTATTCAAACAATACTTGCTAATTAAGGAAGTTGTGAAGCGCATGACAAAGATGATATCAAGAATGACAAGAAAGTTTTAAGTGTTTTCCAAAGAAATTTACGAAAATCACAGGGCTGATTAATCTGACTGTTCTGTTGGCAGCGTAAGCCGTTGACATCGTAAGGTCATTTTGTAGGACATTGGTTGTTCGTTGTGTATAAAGTTTTTCAGTTCTCGTATGTGTACGTACTTTTCATATTTACATTCGTGGAAATGTTGCACCGTACGTTTTGTTTTTCTAGCATTTCATATTAATTTACCATACTTAATGTATTTCACTACGTTTTCTGGCCATGCACAATGTGTCATGAAGCTGGCAGTACCCCTTCGGTGCGTTCTTCGTCAAAAGCAGCCGAATCAGAATAGGCTGAAATTTCAATTCCCTCAAATTGGATGTAATTGATGTTAGCACATGCCCTCAAAACAGGAACAGTTTACAAATAAAATGGGCTTTCATTCATTTGTTTGTTCTGAACCACGAATCGATAAAATTGGCAGAACAATTATGTTATTAAAGAGGAATTGAAGTGTCTGATTCGGAATTTTCGGACAAATCTACACTTGTCAGTAGAGCTAGGTTCCAACAAAGCGAGTTACATTTCATATGGAGATCTACTAACCTTGCGACAACTGGTGAGGCATCCATCGTTCGTTTGTAATTTCGTGTAACCTGCAAACCGCTGGAAGACCAATAAGATGAACGTTTTTTAAACCACTGGTTTGTGGGGGGTTGCTCTCACCTTGAATGTATGTCCTCTTAAGGGTATTCATGCTGACGAAGTTGCGTAAAATCGTTTTATACAGAAACATAGTACCATTACATAGGTGACTGCCATGGTTTGTCATACGCACGGACGACTAGTACATGCGTTCAAACCATCGGTATATAGTTTTAGTGAAGAAATATACCACCCGATACGCATGCGTAGCAGCGCTGAATGTCGTAGATAGATAAAGTTTATATATATCGACAATAGTTCACATTGACTTAAGGCGACAGTTGAGAAGGTACTATGTACGAAATGGCCTTTGGATGTACTAGTTTAAGGGGCACCGCGTTATGAATCTAACGTCTTCAAATGGGAAGCTGGCAGGGTTCTGTGGCATGGCTCTAAGACAGCAATAACTAAGACTGTACGAATGTTTAAAATTTCCGCAAATGAATGAGCTTCGTGATAGCATTTCAGCCGCAATACTGTCATCGAACTTACGTAGCGTAGATTTGGAAATAATGGCTAATTGATATGATCAGAAATGCCGGTATATTGCTGACCGATTCCGTGTCCGTAGCATCATTATTATTCAGCAGAACTGAATCATGGCAACGTATCTCGTTCCCATAGTAGTTGGCACGATTTTGTGCGTCGTATCGACGGCTGTTGAAGAACAAGCATGGATAGCTGATAGTATACATAGATGGTTTGGAAAGTGAGAGATGCCGAATCATCGTATTTGGATTGGTTTCAAGGTTTCTGTCACAACTTACATTGCCTCATCAAACTACGTGCCCAGTTTCCTCATGCGGCAGCCACGACTATAAATATAGACGCAGTACGTGGTTAGAAAATATGGGAACAGCAGTATAGTTTTTTTCTTCTTTAATAGCACGAATCAGCACTTTTGGGTTTATTTCTCAATTGACTGGTTCACACTTTTGGCCCTGAAAAGCACTGCTGAGTATGTTGTTAATAAATCTGAAAAATCTCTTGCGTAGACACGGCTGCCATACATTAACTATCGCTTGTCCTGTGAAGCTTTGGCACACTTTTACAATACCTTTTAGGTATGGTCAAATCTGAACATAGCGTGAATTTTTTCAAACGTGCCAGTTGCAATTTAGTAAGGCTTTGTTATCTGTAACTGAGCAAATATATCAATAATCTCTAAAGAAGTAATTTTTAGAATTTGTTCTGATCGCAGAGATTTCGGTCATAGGTTTCATTGATCGTGATTATCGTTTAGGAAAATGATACTGTCATAGGTAACGACAATTGGCGAATTGTTGTGGTAGTAGATGTCGTAGATACCTAAAGTATATGGTGTCGATGGCACAGAAGGTTCGTTTGGTTTTTGTATTTCCTTTTAAAATGATGAACTTTTTGGGAGTAATTAACTGATTAAAGTTATGCTGTCAGTGTATCAGTTTTGTTTAATCAATGTGATTCGAGGCACTATTGTTGGCAGAACTCTCCCCGTTGGCGACGTTGTGCTGTACTCTAAGTCTGAGATGTCTGGGTTGCAGCATCCTAAATGGAATGGTTGCTTTTCGTAGATGAATTGGCATTTAAATGCTTCGTCACCTATGTTTCATATTTTTTGGTCTACCTATTCTGCCCTTCGGATTTGAGACCAGTTCGAAGTTTGCATCTTGAGTCATCTGCAGTTGTAGTAGTTCCTCGCTTATGTTGTCCACTACCTTTTCGTTGTGCAGCTTTGCATATCGTATTCAATGTAAATTAAGTTTAAAATCTTTTCCTTAATGCGTTTATTTTTAGTTGCCCCACTATTTAACTAGTAAAGTTTTTAGCTTATTTAAAAAAATTGTAGCATATAAATGCGTAATATGTTTCTGATAGAAATATTATTCTCTCTTATCGATGGCGACATTAATGCTTAAACTGAGCAGCGTTGTATAATGTCAAAATTTCCATAACTAAATTCATACGGTTAATGTAGTGATATATTTTGTCCATTTACTGATATCATTTTTCATATATTATGTCCCGCTCTTGAATCATGAATCATTCTTCTCCTTTCGAGAATAAATTCATCACTCATTCTTTAGTCGGAGTAAGGGTATTACGATTTCCTAGAACCTCAAGAATTTATGATGCATTTCTTCTGGGCGACTAATCATGTTTTTTTTCTGAAGATGTACAGGATGCGGCCTCAGATGTCCAATGTGCCGTAATGATATGATTGTGTCTAGTATTGCCATATAAATCTGAATTTTGCTTGAAATATTTATTTGTGGTTTAATTTTTTGATATGTATTTATTTGCTGGTCTGAGGCACATGCTTGCTCATTTGAGCAAATACCGATCTATGGAAGAATTGTTTCCACTGTTCCTAATGGGCATTTCAAATGATGAAAGAAAGGCCGAGGATAAGAGTACCCTGTTAGAGAGCGTTCGTAAATTGTCTAAGACAGTAGGAGGGGAGTTCTTGGGGTTGGCTGTTTCGCGGGCAGTTTTCTTTATGCCCATGTTTTCTAAGATGTCTGTGACTGCCTTATTTGATTTACGAACCTCCCTTTCGTTTGCAGGGTAAACTGCTCAAAACGGCGAAGCGATT